TACTAGCAGACCCCGCCACGCGTTGTTGTGGCTCAAAATGTATCTATTATAAATGTATAACACTTCCCCCATGGGGGGAATTTTTCGAAAAATCCTTTAGTGTACATTTTCTTGACGTACCCTATTAAAACGCAAACAAAAACGCAAAAACCGCCTTTGCAATAGTATAATAGAAGCCAAGTTCTTCACGGTAAGCCTTAATCCTGTCTCTCTCCCCCGCTGGAAGAATATCGAAAAATCCTTCTGTAGTGTACATTCTGTTGACGTACTGTATTAAAACGCAATCAAAAACGCAAAAACCGCATTTAAAATAGTATAAATACAAGCAGAGTATTTTGCGGTAAGCCTTAATCCTGTCCATCTCCCCCGGGGGGAATTTCGACATGTATATTATATAAAAACACGTGCGTATTCAAATGCAGCGTTGTGTCAAAATTTCAAAGGAATCGGTAGGAACAAACGAACATTACATTTTTATTTATATAGATAGATAGAAGATGATCTGCTTTAGTTTATTTTCACAGAAAAGCATAATGCCTCACATAAAAGCATACTTAGGGCGTCGTACTCGTAGCGCCATCTGTTGACATAAAAGCCTTAACCTAGATTATATATTTTAATTCATATGAATGTTTAACGGAATAATATATAGCCTATGTCCACCCTGAGGTTCCATTCTAAACATTCGTGAAAGAATTTTTGAAATCGCTGTGTGTTCGAAGCCTTAATAAAGTTCAAAATTTACAATGATTCAAATTACCGTGGCATTTCATTGATTCCTATATGATACGATTATTCCTGAAACCAATTTATTGCAAATAACAAAAATTTCAGAAGAGCCAATACCTTTGCAAAAAATGAATATTAGGTTTTTATGTATGTATGTCTATGCGTTATTTAACATATATTATTATGCAAATTGATATAAAAATAACTTAAAATTAAAGTAAAATTTGTTTATTTTTGGTCGCATGTTCCTCTTTCCCTATTTACTCTGTGTTAAAATGACTTCGTTTAACGCTCATTTATTGCTTTGTCGTCTAGGAACGTATCCCCCGCTTTAAACGGTGTCATACAGTACTCGCAAAATTAAATAGATAACTAAAATAATTCATAATATGAACGAAAAAATGCAATTCTGCTCTAGACCAGAAGTTTTGTTCTCTCCTAAAAACACCATTTACTTTCTGTAATATGTATCATAAGCAAACAGTGATATTAAGCAAAAAAAACATACTCACAACTAAACGTCCAATCTTTCATTTTCATGAAATCTTGCACGAATCGCATTAAACTACTCATGCACGAAGAAGATAACTTCACCTCTTCGAACATCTTCAACATGTAAGGTAAATTGGAATTGACTACGGATCTTATTAACGTTTTCATTTTTCCATCCATATCTTTAATAAAATGTAAAACTCGTTCACTTTCGTCTTGTGATTGAATGTTGTTGTCAATTGATTCATTTGTGGATAACAAATGCCCAGGAACCACTAACAAAAATAGTAAAATGTAAAGTGGAGAAAGTATGCTTATCCTCATCTTCTTACTGTGTATAATTGATTGAGTATTGTTTATATATACGTGTTTTACTGTCGTAAAATACGAGGAAACTATACGTAAAATTTCAATAATGTTTTCTATTGATAAAAAGAACAATAAATCATATTCAGAAGTTCAAAGAATAGAATAATTATATAGAATTTTTCAAATAAAAACTAATATAATATGTAAGAAAAATTTTATAAATTACTGAAAAATTAAAAAAAAAAAAATGTTAATAAGAATTATTAAGAAGATTATTACTACGTAAATAACGAATAATAAAATTATGAATTTCTGTTATAGTTTTTAATTGATCATTGAATTTTATTTATTATTAAAAATTTCAATGAATGTAAGTAACTTGTTTAAATTTTTTAATATTACAATTAAATTTCTGATTCAATTTTTAAAATATCATTTACGAATATTTATTTTTTATCTTTTGGTGTATAAAGCGAATCATTTCATAGGTTCATTCAGGAGCAGAACAATTAAATTTCGTTAATCTATATCTATATCTATATATGTGTATATATAAAAGTGGACGTGTTTGTCACTACATTTCACTCTGCAGCCGAAACTACACATCGCACATGAATGGTGTTTGTGTGCGGTAGTAGCCTCATGTCTACCATCGTGCAATATCGTGGTAGAGTCTCGATAGCTATAAGGGTGTGGGAGACATGGGGTTAAAAGTTGTTGATTTTTAAAATCTGTAACAATGGAAGTGTGAACAATGGAAGTGTTAACAATGAAAGTGTTAAGAGAAAGCGGCGTGCAAGATTCACAGGCGCAGATGCGTTTTTTTTGCGTTTTTGCAAGAAATCAAACATACTTTTAGACCCGTGTAAAAATTCTCTAATTAGTTTGGAAACGGGGGACCTAATTCTATCATTCTGTGAAAATGTGTAAGATTGGCTATAACGTAATATTAATTTTAAATGCTTTCGAATAGTCGGAAATGTTTTGGATTAGTCCAGGACCGTAATGTATGAGTAGTGGGGATGGCTTTTGGAAACATGTGACGCACATGCTTCAGTTTATTTTTCATAAGTAAAAGTGTACAAATAACAGAAAAAAAGTAAAAAGTGAAAAGTGAATAGTGAAGTATGAAAAATAAAAATATACAAAACAATGCCAAAGAAAGAATTTTTCTCGAATCCTATCTCAAACGCAAAAGATGGCGCGGAGAAATGAAACCATGGAAGAAAGGGAAGTATATCTAACATTGCAACGAGAAAATTATCAACGAAATCTCTGATTATTTCTGTTTCAGAAATAATCAGAGAGAAGAGCAACTTGAAAATTATAGGGAACACATCGAATCAGAGAAAGATTATGTAGAGTAAGAAAAACAGTCTTTTATATAAAGAAAATACTATATTACATATAAATGTACGAGCAAATAAAAACCCATCGAACCGGGTACTTGCAGCTAGTTAGTTAATAAAATTTAGTTGTTCTGAATATAATTTTGTGATTTGATGTTTAAAATATGTTTGCAGAGATTAAATGTTTATTGTGTATTAAATGTTTATATAGGGATTACTATTTTCGCAGTAGTATACAGTTTCAAGTAGAGTAATAGTTACAAATTCGTTAATTTTTCAGCGAAATTTTCTACAGTAAAAATTTATATAGCAATTTTTAAAATTTTTTTATTCGTAGTTCTGGTGAAATCTTTATGGACTTGTTCGAACTTATAATAGTCAATATAGAAAGAAACTCTTCGTAACCTTGAGATGAAATGAGTAAAGATCATACTGTGTTGCCCACTATAAGGCAATTTTTATTGTGGGGATAGCATAAAGCAGCGAGTATACAATATAAAAATTTTGGTACTATCTATAAGGCGAAAATAGTTGCAAGTTAAAACAAAACAAATCTAGGAAAAAGTTGCGTAATTTCTGTAGGTGTAATGACATTTTATTTAAAAAATAACTTTTTATAATTAATTATAAATAAAATACCGTGTAGTACCATCTATTACGAGATTTTATTATAAATTTTTATCTTATTAATTATTATATAAAGAAATAAAAGCTTTAATTTTGAAAAAAAGAATAAATTTGACGTTTAAAAACATATAAAGTTTAATAACAAATAAAATCTTTATGTAAATCCGACCTGTCTGTACATATCAAACTTCACCCTACTTTATCAACCCACCCCTTCGATCTTTAACTATAAAATTTAATATCATCAGTTTTTTATAGACAAGCTGTAGTAAAATTTCATTTCTTAATCTTCACCTATCATGAGGTAATACAGGAAATAAACACTAACGCACACTCACACATGTGCATACGTACTCATAGATTTTATTTTATTTTTTACTTTTTCTGTTCAGGATGGTAAAACGTGGAGATTTGCAAAAAAGCCAGAACAGCAAATATGATATTGTTTTATTACTTTCCGTCGTATTTTATGATTTTATTTTTTTCGTTCTTTTTGAAATAAAAGCACGAGGGTTTTGCATACACGTTACTTAATAGAAAATATTTGCAAAGTCCTTATAGCAACACTTCTTAAGAAACTTTAGATATGGTTGATTTATTCGTCCTTCAACTGAAATAAATTGTTTAACCATTGTTCATTCTTGGCCTTCATCCACTAATTCATTGGAAATTCAGTAAATGACGTACACTGTCATACATTTTTTATTCGTAGATTCTACCAAGCAACTTCTAAAACATTGAAAAGAAGCAGAATTTCTGAAAACCAAAACTTGAATTGACATATATTGTAAAGTAATTGTGGATCAATAACAAAAGCAATGTGAAAGTGCTGAAAGAAAGAATTTCTTATTACTTTGTTGAAGTATACTATGTATTTAGGCCTACATGATTAATTAAGTGTATACTGAACACGAACAGATGCAGTAATCATTTGTCATTATTACTCGCTAAAGAATTCATTATAAAAAAGTATATACAGCATTACACAGTTTAAACATTTTATTACGTCTATATGATTGGCAGAAATCATTTTATGCAATTTATTTCATATTATTTACATAATTTAATAGATTATATCAGAAGATATTTTTACATAACTTTAATGAATACATTTATAGAATGTATTTGCATATGGATAAAAAATAAGAGCATTTTTAATTTGAATTTTTTATTCTTATAAATAGAAACTGATAGATATAAAGATTATTGAATATTTAGAATATGAGAAATAAATTTAAGAGATTTGAAAATATATTTTACGATTTACAAAGTTATAAAATAACTTTTCAAGTATATTTTTAATTTTTAGAATTTTAGCAACTTCAAAACAACATATAGAGAAGCAAATTTGTATTCATGAGACGTAAACACTATCACTTGTTTTTATCTATGTCTTTATCTTTTGCCATTATCTTTAACATCAAAAGAGTAGACAAAAGAACAATAGATTCACGTAATATTCTACGAAATGTTTACTCCGATGAGTACTCAGATAAAGTTGCAAGAAGTTTACTTTCTTCTGGAAGTTTCCTAATTGGCAACTAATTATATTCCAATATTGAATAATAAAGTAGTTTATTTTATTCGGCGTTATTAATTATCTGCAGTGGCCTGGCCTCTCATTAAAAATATTATATTAATAATAATTTTACATACTTTATCGACGAAGCTAAGTGCAATGAACACATTATTCGCGTTCATAAATTCGTAGGTTATGAGAAAGTCATTATCATGATGACATCCACTTTTGTATATTGAGTCAAGTGTAAAATTAATTTTACTGAATTAATTTTTATTTTTTTCATCAGGAATCAAATATTTATCAATTCTAGCATGTAGAAAATATGTATACTTTAATCTTTAATAGTGTATATTAATCCAGATGTTAAATTTGATAATATAATCGATATTCAAATAATCTATCTGTTTGTCTTTTATTTGTGAAGATTTTAATTTCTTTATTCTAAATTTAATTTAAGCAATTTAATTTTTTTTGCTCGATCCAAAGAATAAAAGTGATAAAGAAATACATTATAAAACTATTTCTGATATTTTCTGCTGGTTGAAGTTAGTGTCAAAAACTAAATTCCCTTTGAAGCCACGGAACCTTCGTTATGGACAAACCATTCTCCGTGGAATTTTTGTTTGTCCAGAAATACCTTAATGACTATGCAGCATCATTTTACGGGAAAAACTTGAAACTCACCATTTCCAAAACAGAAATGTCGATAATATATTCGAAAGTTTGTTTAAAATAATTATTGTACATTCGAATGATGCATACGCTTGCTTCTGATGGATTGCTTACATGATTCTTAACACAATCTTTAATAGCTGGTTTCCTTTGGAACAATGTATATACTATGTGTTTTATTTACATACTGTATGTAGTACATATCACATAACAGATGAAATACACTTCGATGGAGTTAAACAAAGTCCCTACCTGAAATAAAAGTAAAATAATAAGTAATCAATCAGCATGAAGCTGTTTCTGAATACATACGTCCCTTTTAGATTAATTAATATCTGAAAATAAAAAGATTCCAAATTAATAATAACTGTTGCAATTTTTGAAAATTGCAACAGTTTTTTCAAAAATGCGCTTACAACTATTATGTACAGTATTATCGTCTCTTCCCAGCATTCCGCGGGTATCACGTCGTTATTTAAATTTATAACATTATTTTGCATACCTATCGCGAAATGTTCTTTGAATTTTCTTTTTACCATATTTTTTCTCTATTTAAGATGTTTACATTGTTAATATCAAGTTGGCAATTATTCGCGTGAAAATGTAAAAACACGGGAGATGTATTGACTTTAAGTCTTACTGCAGCCAGACGATCCGACGTCCTTACTTTCAGTTTACTTTTCGTTACACCAACATGATAGTTCGTTATTTCACATGTACACTGGAGTCTATAGATCACTCCTTCTTCTTCCAATAGCTCTTTATTCTTGTAGGGTTCAGTCCTTATTAGTCCAAATAACCTAGTTTTTTTGGAATGGGGCTAATTTAATTGTATTTTCACAAAA